GTCCGATTAACACTTGCCATCTGATGGCGGAAGTAGCTTGTTCTGAGACGTCAAATTCCTGTTAATCTATTCCAGTGTAACCCCTGCGTGACTGACTACTCTGGAGTCCTGTTGGTTTCACAACTCCTGGGTTAGCGCCATAGTACCTACCATTGTTTGCTGAAGTCGACACAGTGTGAACTCATCACGAGGAAGGGGAATGAGATCTCACTGCCAGGTGATCTAAGTGGACCTCAGGATGGGACGTCATCATCCTCACCGGAAGCTGCAGGTGAAGTCTGGTTTAAGCCGGCAACGATCTTCACCTCCCCTTGGATCCGCACCATTAGCCTGTTCCTCATAGCAAAACGCGTTTGCACTGTATCCACCTCCGTTTTTTCGCGCCAAACAGCCCGCCAACAGGTGACACAGAAGGCCAAGTCCTTGGTCCCACACGTATCGGCCTTCACTCCTTGGGTCTCGCGTGACAGTGTCACACAGGTCAAATTAGTAAGGCGCCGTTGCAGTCTGATAGTAAACCCTCGGTACGATCGAGTCACCACTCACGCCCCGGAAGGAGGGCAGGAATTGGACTTCGCGAGCGCGTGGGTGCAATCCGACAATAAGGCACTGCAGAAAGCGCTGGGAGGGCGGTGGGCATGGGTGTCCGACTCCAACCCCATCTACGGACACCTCGATGTACCTCTGTGCTGTTAGGCGCTAAGCTGTCGCGACCCAGTCGCGGACGCGCCCCGCCATCGCAGTCTTGGGCCCCATCCGCCCCTTCCGTTCGTTGCCCGTCATGCTGCCCATTTGTTGCACTCAGTCTACTGATAGGCTTCTGCACTACTGCCTCTCAGTCCATGACTGGTTATCCAGCCTTGAAGGGGTGACGACTCAGGCAAGTGGAGGGCCATGTGTCACCCTTCTGGACCTACAGGTCTGTAAGCGTCTGCTAGACGAGGATCAACAGTCCATGACAGTCGCAGTCCTCTGTGCACTGGAAACTCTCCGACACCTGGTTCCCTGCCAGTAGATACGCTTGCGTTCCCCCTGCGTTCACAGCTCGTGAGCATGGCTGCCTAATTTTTCTCGTCCTAAACCGTTGTGGTGTTGGTGCTGTTGGTTAGAACCCTGATTAAGTGCTTTCTGTGGATGCGAGGTGCGGTGGTACGTTTGGGTGCGGGTCCGGCCGTCCCAGCTACCTGCGACCTTACGAGAGTGCGAGAGCTCAGTCTAATACATCTGAGGCCGCACTGTCATTTTCTTTGCAGACTGAGTTGTCACGTCAGTTGGAAACCTTTAAAGCCACGACTTCAAGCGTGTGGTCTCAGTTCTAAAGTGTTTTGATGCTCAAGAGGAGGTACCAGGTACCTGACAAGAGCTGGACCGACGCACGCTCTCCCTCTCCTCCAACACACACCGGTGATTTGTCCGATTCAAGCCTGTTGTGGATGATAATGGACGCTGCGACTAGTGCGGCATGGGGTCGCCGTCCAACGAGTGTCACGAACGCATGTGGAAGGTGACCTGGAGGTCAAATCAGGGAGATGTATAGTGTGCTTTAGGGTAGTGGGCAATGCCCTTGATGACCCTATTGAAAACGGTACATACAATATAAATGTTAAATGTACATCTTACTAAAATTTTGTAAGTAACATATTTGTTCACGGAATACTTTCACAATGCGAGACTGCAAAGGGTTCGGCCGGCGGTCTTCTCACTGTACACATGCAATTTTAAGCGCAGTTATATACAATGAGCATAAAGTGCAGTCGTTTGCATAGTTTTAGAGGGGCATATAATTTAGATTCAGGGATGTGTTAAGCAGAGATGAAATCAAGAAATGAAATTTATGGCTGACTGCAGATAGTCCCGCAGTGAGAGTCGTCGTTTATCAAAATTCGAAGGATTCAGCTGCCTTTTGAATACAGCCATTGTATCAGATGTCACTATTTCACTTAGGAGTGAGTTCCACAGTCGAACAACACGCTGGCTAAGGGAAAACTTCCGGTGGTCAAGGCGTGTACCCTCCGCTTGACTTTGAACGGATGACCGCGCAGGTGCCATTGTAATCTGGTCACTGTAAATTTCCAACTTTCAGATTCCGACGTTTAGCCTGTCGTAACATCTTCGAGCGCGTCAGGATTTTTGTGAGGAAACCACACCATCACATCTTCCTCCATCGACATCACGCAGCATCATCATTCACCACAAGCATCCAGTTGCCACCTTCCACGCGAGTGGTAAGTGTGCGTCCCTGCTCCGTCTCCATGCGGCCTCCCATTTGCTGCATGGCTGATTCGACTCTGAGCCTATCACGACGCGTCAAGCGCTGTGGCCTGGAAGGTTTCTGACTGAGGCCTCAACTCAGTCCACGCAGTCTGCCCATTTGTGTGGGTATGTGTGAAGTGGCGGAGTGGTGGACTGAGAGCCATGCTGAAGCAGCTATCTCAGGCATGTGAGATGTGCGCCGCTCAACCTCCCGTTGTGTGAAATCTTGGTGCTTTTGTCTGGGGAGTCAGGTCGTGCATGTAGTTCGTACAGACAAGGGCAAGATATATGTCAATTACCTCGCCCATTTACTTCACCTGTCTACCGACCGACTCGGACAGTGACTGGGGCCTGGGAATCTAAACAAAAACAAGCTGACATGCATGAAGCCATCACGGTGCGCTAAAAGCCGTGGCTTGGAAGGTTGCCAACTGATGGGATAATTTGGGCCTCGCAGTCAGCCCAGTATGGAGCGGCCGGCTGATGGTCTAAGAGTCAGGCTTCAATAGCTCTTTTGTAATGCGGCCTTTTTGGCACTCCCACTCCGTGGGATCCGAGCCACGTGTGATGGTACGCCTGGGTGCGGCTCCGGCCGCGCCAACCGCCCTTTTGTTGTTTGTCCAAATCCTGGTTATTCGCTGTTTGGACTAGGGGCAGTGGAGTGAAGCTTCCAGGTACAGGCTCGACCGTGTCAACCACCTGCGCCCTCCCCCGCCTCCGGTCGTCTTGACTATGTCTTGACACCGGGTCTATATGAGGGAGAAGAAAGTATGGTAAATGCAGCGCAAGCCTACATTCACTACGGACTAAATCACGCACAAATCACCTCCCCTGCTCCACCTTGCTGTGGAGCACAGGGTGGACATTCTCGGCAACGACGGCCGAACTGTAAGTGAGGAATGAGTGTAATTGTCATGGGGAAAGCTACGCCTGCCGCGGTCAGTCATTCCCATTTTGTTTCGATGTTGACCGATTAATGATGAGACTGCGAGGTTTTTGCCTCCGTCTGAGGTGTGCCACACGCAGTCATGGCAGTTGTTAGGGTAACAGAACCTCGGCGCGAAGCACCAAATGCATACTGTGCATATTGTCGCTTAAGTGGACGCTCATCAACCAACGTAGTGAGCTGGTCGCTACACTGCAGTGGCAACTGTTTCAGCACAGCGCAGATACAGAGTGCGTCAGTTCTCTCTAGAGCACCAGTATCTGGGGTTCTTCCCTTCCATTTTGCCTTCAACATTCCTTTTGGGAGTAGTGTATCAGTATCAGTATATTTCAGGGAAAGTAGGTGTGTACCTTTGAAATCCCTATTGGTTACATGCAGAGGATATATATGGAGGAAATGGAAAGGAAGTAACATGAAAGAAATGCGAGGGGAATAGCAAAAACTGTACAGATGAACACAGAATGTCATGCTTTAACAGAGTTTAGAGGCACATTAACTTGCTTTGTTGGTCAAAATACAGCGGACAGTTGAGGCACACTTAAGACACGGGAAAAGAAGTAAAATTTTTTAGTCTACAGGCATCGTGGTGAATGCGAACAGCGGTGTGCGACGTGCCCCATGCTTAATAAATAACATAAACATATATTACGTAAATGTTGGTAGTAGCATCGTTATAACACTAAATTGTCCGCGTTGGCTGTCAAGGTGGCCGAAGTCCGGCGTTATTGTGGTGCGCTCTACAATGCTGATCTAGTCTCCATTTAAAAGTATCTACCGAGCCTGACAAAACAACATCCTCAGGCAAGGCATTCCAAGCTGCAACCACTCTGTTGGTGAAGAAGAACTTTCGGGTGTCTAGCCGGACACCAGCCACACGCAGTTTGAGTGGATGGCCTCTCAGGTTAGTCGTAGTCGCCAACTCGAAGAAGTCTCCAAACGCGAGGCAGCAGCCCTGATTGCGCACGATGCGGAAAGCTTGTAT